TCTGTGTCCTGTGTCTGTGTCTGTGTCCGTGTCCGTGTCTGTGTTTGCGTCTGCGTCTGTGTCTGTGTCTGTGTCTGTGTCTGTGTGTGTGTGTGTGTGCGCGTCTGTGTCTGTGTCTGTGTCTGTGTCTGTGTGTGTGTGTGTGTGTGTGTGTGTGTCTGTGTCTGTGTCTGTGTCTGTGTCTGTGTGTGTGTGTGCGCGTCTGTGTCTGTGTCTGTGTCTGTGTGTGTGTGTGTGTCTGTGTGTGTGTCTGTGTGTTTGTCTGTGTCTGTCTGTGTCTGTGTCTGTGTCTGTGTCTCTGTCTCTGTCTCTGTCTCCGTCTCTGTCTCTGTCTCTGTCTCTGTCTCTGTCTCTGTCTGTGTCTGTGTCTGTGTCTGTGTCTGTGTCTGTGTCTGTGTCTGTGTCTGTGTCTGTGTCTGTGTCTGTGTCTGTGTGTGTGTGTGTGCGTCTGTGTCTGTGTGTGTGTGTGTTTCTGTGTCCGTGTCTGTGTCTGTGTCTGTGTCTGTGCCTGTGTCTGTGTCTGTCTGTGTGTGTGTTTGGGTGTCACTTGCATCAGTTTTTATGAAAGCAGCTCTCGACAAAATGCGGCTGTGCAATAGGATGCTTTTCTGGGACCCTGTTTTGCTCTTGGCCCGTGTCAAGTTTCGAAAGACAGAGGTCCGGAATTTTGACCAGCCATGGCAGGACAGACGTGAGGAAGAGCCTTGCATTATTTGCCATGAGCCGTTGCTGGAAGGACTGCTTGAGGGTGGCAAGTGCATCGATGCAGCTTTTGCCTTTCATTTGGCGGCAGCTTTGCTCGCCAAGATTTGGCTGTCTCCTCAGTGTGCCCCTGAAATGAGAGCAGGAGACGAGGCTCGCAGACTGCTGCCGGCTCAGATGTTTCCTTGTTTCAGGGCTCCCTATATTTTCCTTTTAGGTTTGAGCACCATCTTTTTTTTGGCCAGGTGAGTTTCCCTTGACGCATTTTACTGGGTGAATTGTAACGACCTCACACGACCTCACCCCCAATGGTGGCTTATGTGGGGAATATCCCTCCAACCACCTTATTTCAGACTGGTGAAATATTATAATTCACCCAGATTTTGCGGGGACTTCTTTGGGGAGTTTTCAGGCGCTTCCTCGCCGTAAGGCCGTGTTGCCACACTTTTCACCGCTGCTGCATTGATCGCTGGCTGCGTGTGAAGGCCGGATGCGTGTTGTCTGGGCGAGACGTCTCTTGAGGCCTATTTTATAACGAGCTCACCTGGGGGTAAAACGGGCTCACCATGATAAAGGTCCTTCACCCCTTGGGGATTTCTGAATTCAGCTTTTGGAATTATAGTAAAGCTTGGTGTTTATGAGTGTTTCCCCAACTGAAGCTATCGTGGTTTGGTGGTTTGGTGCAGCTTTCAGGGAGAGTTCCGGAGGGTTCCAGAAAGTTCAAGGGCTGTTGGGGATACCACCTGCGCTTAAGTTTAAAACACACACCCAATGTTCCGAGAGGTCAGTTTTGCTTTATAGTGTTGAGGACTCTGCTGTAAGTTGTCATTGATTGTGAATCGGCAGTGTATGTTTTTCGTTGTCAGTGGGCCCAGCCCCCAAGCCGCACCATCCATCCAATCAGTGGTAATTTCTTGACTAGCAAAGCTTCTCACATTGGGTTAGGCCAAGGGTCACACATTGAGTGAAATGAGCTCTTTTCTTCAACGGGCTTCAGCCTGCACTGCTCAGGGCTGTGCGAAATACCACCATGCAAGGGATGTAGTCAGGGACCCGACAAAGACCTCCCCCCCTATATAAGGGAAAATGGATTCACGAGCCTTATGAGCGCATTGCCACAGCCACCAACGCCCACGGTGCCATCACGTGACAGGGCAGCTTTTCAATCCAACAATTGGGGCAACTCCCCTTCTGGGGAGCCCCCCTGTTAGGTTCCCTCCGCGAATTTGCCGAGCTTGCGCCTTTCTTGGCTTGGCCAAGCCCGCGATAGGCGGTTTGCCCGCTGGACAAGTTGACCGTGGACCAGCTTCTGGCAGCCCCCAAGGCCGTGGGCTTTAGACATGATGTAATTGAACAAGTCAAGTAGACATGGTTGTGGGTCAAATCCAATGGGATCCCATTTTGGGGTAGGTGCACCACCCATTTTGGTCTATTTTAGTGGGGATTGGGATGTTCACTGGGGGTACGGGCTTTTGACCCATGGCCACATCAAACCAACTTTTCACAGATCACACGTCGCGGCTCGGATATTGCGGATCCGGAAGGCGCAGGAACGCGTGAGTGGCTTGACTGCAAAAACATTGGCTTCAGCGAGAAACGGGTGTGCCAAAACATAGGGGATCATACGGGATGCCCCAAAGGGGGGTTTTTCTCTCCCTGGTTTCCATTGACAATCCCAGAAGCTTCAGTGGGCGTTGCCAAGGCGCCGCAACTTAGAGCCGACCGGCCAGAGATCTGAGTGCATGGCACGCGCGAGTGTCCACGTGTGGGCCACAATCAAAACCGAGGTAAATGAAGGTCAGACTTCTTCCCAACCACTAGGCGCTATGGTGCTTTTTGCCATTCTGCCGCTTCAATACCAGGTTTTGGTTGTGGCTTTGCAGCGCTGAAACATGAGCGAGTGGGAAAAACGCAGACCTAGAGAAACGCAGGCCTGAAATACGCCTGCATGTATCAAGCTTCGGGCGTGCGTTTCTCATCTCAAAGGCAGGCTTGGGCATTAAACACGAAACACCCTGCACGCATTGAAATCGATACACGACTACATTTTAGATGCTTCAACTGTGGATTCCAATGGCATCACACTCCTTTTAGCAGTCTAGCACTGGGGGAATCCACAGCATCAACCATGAACCCACGAACAGTCGATCAGGAGACATGTGAAGCATGTGTTTGTGCATGCTGGTGTAAAAAAAAAGAAGCAAATTGGGGTAACCCCAAAATGGGTCGCCCATGGAAACAAGGACAGCCGAAGCTGCGGTCCCCTGGTTGGGTTTTCCTTCGACCCTTCTCCATTTCACGGGGCCTTTCACGCTGGATCTCAAAGGTGACCCGTGGCTCGCGCCTCGCGTTTCGCGTTGCGAGGACCCCGCGGCCTTCTGTGCCGGCGTGGGAGGGTTCGAGGTGGCCGAGGCTGAGGCGCGGAAGAGATCTGAGTCGTTTCCTGGCTAGAAGGCAGCAGGTGAATACCGAAGGGGTGGTTTTTGAGGTGCCCGTTTTGGGGTGGCTATGATGGTTGCAAAGACGACTTCAAGAAGAAGCCGCAATTTTGGCATCCTCGACTTCAACATGCACACATCAATATCCCTCATCCATATGTGCGAATAGAGTATATATAGCTCAAGCAGCATTGTTTGGCTCGCAGCTTTGACACGGGGAACCATGGACCACGTGTTCGTATGGGGTGCCGTGGTCGGAGGCCTATGGGCTTTGTGGCTCGCTACGGCCCTCCAAACCTGGCGCGCACATTTCTCCTGGCGACACTCCAGGAGGAGCCTTCGCAGCCCCAGCCACGACCAGCAGCCCCCGGCGCCACGGAAATTGGGCGAAGGCTGCCCGGTGCTCCTTGGCCACAAAGCATCGGTGCCCGCGTCTTGCCCTGGAACCGAAGGTGCCAAGGGTTCTAGACGTGCGGGTGCTGGTTTCCAGCCAATGAAAAAGGCGTTGGACATGAACCATGTGCACCTGAGCCTGTGGCAATACCTTTGGGCAGCACATGCCATAGCTTTGCCAGCCTTATTTTTGGTGGTGCAGGGATGGTGCCAGATCCAAGTTGCTCGGCTCCTAAACTTCTGCTGCTTGCTCCCCAAACCATCTGACACGGAATTGCGTCGCATGATCTACGACTTGGTCTTGGAGAACTTGTGCACAGGAGTCGTTGGCATTGAAGACACGAAGAGCCGAGTGGCCACCTTTGTCTACAGAATTCCGGTGTACTTGGACTCTAGCTCGCAAGTGCTCATGACGAGGATGGTGGTGAAGTTGAACCTCAGCAATGCTGACCTTGTGAGTGCTGAGCTGGACGGCGAGACCTGCACGCTGGACGATGCTGCTGTGTTGCTGGCTCACTACGTGGTCAACTTGAATCATCCCAAGATCCATGCCTATGCCAACTGGGGCATTGATCCAGCAGACAGCACCAGCCGGTACCTGCAAAAGATGAGTGTGGTCACTGCGTCCTACAACCACTATGGCTTTGATAACTTCCCCCTGATGGCCAGAAACATGGTGCACAAGGATGCCGGGCTCTTTGTCAAAGTCTGTCTCAAGGAGTCTTTGAGCATCGGTGTCCCAGAACACAAACTGGTGACCGCGCTGGCACAGCATTCCAAGCTTCTGAACTTCTTGATTCAGCTGAAGATGCCGTTCAAGCAGGCGTTCAAGCAGTGCAAAGAGGATTTCCCGCCCAGTTACAGCTGTGAAGCGCATTTTTTGGGCACTGTGGTTCACTCTTTGGACCACTGGGTCTTCTGCCAGACCATTGATCCATGGCTGTTCAGTGCACTCAATCACTCGAAGGATCTCCAGACGCTACACAGCACTGTGATGCTTGCTCGCTGCTGTGCGCTGGATGATATCCCGACCGTGGGCCTCGAGAAGTATTTCCGGGATGAACACACGGAGTTCCATCGGATGGTGTACTCGGCCGCGAAGGATCTTGATGCGAGCATGGCAGATCAAATCCAGACGTGCATCGTCAAGTGAATAGATAGATCCAGATACTTACAGTTGCTCAGACTGACCCAAATTGTGCCGACCATTTTGCTGTAGTTTTCGCCCTACAGATCTATAGTGAGGCTACAGCACCTGCGGAGTTTTGGGCATCTCCCTGGGTCAACTCTAATTTGGAGCCCATGTTCCACCGGTCTTATGTATAGATGCAGGGCGAAACTGCCGGGTGACCGAGAGCGACAATTCGCTGCAACTCGTCATCGATGAGTTGCAGTTTGGGAGCAAAGCCGGTGCTGTGCTCTCCAAAAACAGAACGGGGTCGCTGTTTGTTTGAGGACACTTTTCAGGTTTGTGCAAAGGGACACCAACAGAAAAACCACCAAAACAAGGGGCGGGCCATATCCCCATTTCGACACGTACCCATATTACGATTTCCCACCATTCCCCCTGCAATTGAGTGTGTCGGTTTGGTGGGTGCTAAGATTCAGGAAGCCTGCCATGCCAGGAGGGGGCAGATGAATTCTGCTATGACGGGGTTCCAGCCGCCAAGATGTCGAGCTCTCAGGTTGGGAGAAGGGCAAACTCGGCCGCGCATGTCAAACAACCGCGCGGTTGGAAAGGTTTCGAAGATGGTAAATGATGTCCTCAGGACTCCCAACTGACAATTTTCACACCCACCTGTGGGCTGAATCCCAGGATCCAGCTGGGATACTCTGAACGCCGGGATAAACCACCGAGCAACTGCCTGGCGCGGGAAGTTTTGTTTCGGCCCAATCGACCGAGGAAGGGCAAGGCTCCCAGGTGCGGCCGTTCCGATGGGATGGCATGTTGGGTACAGATGTTTGGCCATTTTGGCAGATTCTTGTTTCTCCCCAATCCCCGAAACACACCTAGAGTCCATGTTGCGGACACTTCTTTTCTTTTGGTAACGCGCACATACACAGGACCTACACAGAGAAGCAGTTTGCTTTCCGCCAGGGCACCTTGGTCTCCGCCCAAGCGCAAGGAGCGGACCATGTGGAGGCAATTGGCTATGGGAGCCGCCCATGGGTTTCCTTTTTGGGCTTCCCTTAAAGGAGTCGCGAGCAAAACGTATACATAAACCCCTGGTAGATCAATGACGGAGGGGATGACTTCCCAGTCCGCGAGTCCTTCAATCCGTTTACATTAGATCGAAAGTCGGTGGAAGTAATCAAGCTTCAAGAAGCTTTGATAGGTAATTCTGGAAAATGTGGTTTTTGGTTTTGACTTGTATGGGCATGTGTTAAACAATGGGAAGATCCACAGGCATTTGGGAGGTGCTCTAATTTTGAGACATGGTTGTGCCGGGAAATATGTGTATGCGGCTAGCATCGCATCATGAGCACTTTGCAAGTCGACGGGTGATGCTTGCCAACACAAGCTGCCTTTGGGCTGCTCACAGTTTGAATGTGTGTTTTGGTCACAATTTGCTATACCCTCTATGGACATGCCTAAATTTGAGAGACTAGTTTTGTGGGCAGACTCTCCCCCCATGTACCGCCAAACTGACCATAGACTACCGGACATTTTGACCCAACCTCACGTGATGGCAGGCGGATGATGGATGAATGGTATCGCAGCGGAATTCCTTACTGGGTGGAGGAGCTATGAATCGCTCATTGTGCATTGAATTGCGCTTCATGTTTCGTTCATGCTAGTACATCGCACAGCTGGGAGTTTGTTCTGACAAGTGCTTGTTGACCCGACAGAAGCCCAAAGACTGACGATTCCTCCCTTGGCTTGTGTCAGCTGTTTGCTGCACTGACTGATTGACTGATGCGCGTTGGCAGGAGAACGCGCCTGGCATCGCCATAGCCATTGTTGCAGCTGCAGTTGCATGGTGCGCCCCGTGGTTGCTCAACGTCAAGAGACTTCCCGACTTTCCTCTCCGTCCTTTCCGAGCTTCGGTCAGAACTCATGAAAGCGAGCCGGCAGATAGAGCTTTGCAGCAATATGGGCATTGGCACATTGCTTGCCAGCAATCTGGCAGTTTTCTATACAATTTCACCCCCTGAAAGGGCCTTCAACTAAGACAAGTGATGATCGAAGCAACTTGCAGGAACATAGCTGGTCGCGGCTGATGCGGATGGGCTGGTAAGGCAAACTGCCTAGGCGGGGGCCAGTAACTTAGCTGCAAGCGTCAGTGGCAATATGCACTGATGTCGTTTCCGTCCCTTCCACTTCCTCCCAAAAAATGTGGCACCTGACAAAGCGCCCTTCCAGGAAAGTGACTTCGCAGGTACAGGTGCTATGTTTGTGGGAGGAAGCGTATTTTCGGCAAAGTTGCGGACTTAAGCAGCCGTGGCAGCACCCGGCCTTCCTCCCCCATAGGCCTCAGTTGTATCTTTTGGGGCACTATGTGCCCATGGCCACACCGGGCAATATTTTTTTTTTTCAAAAGCGCCCCCGGCACCCAGATATAGAGAGGATATAATCCCCATGTGGGGGTTGATCAAAAGGTCTATTCAGGGAAACCTCCAAAAAACCATGTTCACCACTAAATGACCCGCATGTGTATAAATGTCCCCCCAAAGGGTCCCCAAGAACATATTTACGCATAAAGACAGGCAAGCCGTTCTCTTCATGTCAGACCCGTTGGCCAGGCCCCTTCTGGCATGGCATCCGTCGGGTGCGCGTCGTCACGCTAAGACGCGCCCCAGTAGCCGCTGCGACGGCGCAATGCGCCGATGTTTTTGGTCGAGAGGTGTCAACGCTTGAAGTCGGCTCTGCCGAGTTGAGTGGCGCGATCCAGATGGAAAACTGCAAAGGGGTGGTAAGGAGTGGCAGCTGAGCAAGATGTCCGAATCTGGGTCCCTTAAGGTGTTG